TATACATCTTAACTAAAAATGTATGTCTACATACCGGTACATCAGACGCAGTGTCCGATAACATGTAAAACGGCAATAACATGCGGCTCCAATCACATTATCTGAAAAGCAACAAAATGAGCTTCTTCCCCAAAAATCTGAAAATATATTCCAAATAGAACATACAAAGCTTATATAATATTCATTCAGGCAAGTTTCATTACCATTTTCCACATAGCAGGGACAAACACAGAACATACCGCCAAACTTTGTAAGTGACAAAATGCGTTATTTGATCAATAATGGGGTAGCATGTAACTCCGCTAAGCTACTCAGTTGGAAAGTCTATCATGGCCTAATGTACTTATATGGACCCTATGAACAAAATGGTACCACAAATGTTTTGCCACCTCGGGTGGTACCGATATTTGGTCTGGCCCATGGACTATATCCCAATCCTCTCCCACTCCTTCTCAGCATTCACAGGGTGTTTCTCAATGTCGAGGAAGGCTGCTCCAGAGCCACTATTTCAAGAATACTACGTCATCGAGTCTCACCGAAGGACTGTTCCAATGTCCAGGATACTTGGAATTCTACCCAGGCCGGCGTACTTCGTTGCGGGAAATTTCGAGGCTGCACATGTGTAGACTCAGCGGTCTTAAAATCCCCACAATGCTTTGCGCACGGAACAATTTCCCAAATCTTTGGCGGAAAATGTAAGGCGGGGCCTCTCATATGACGCACACTTGCTAGCCTGTTCAATTCTTTGTTTTCCGAGGCTAGGAGGTATTCTTGCCTCGCTTCTGAAGGAACGCACTCGGAGGTACATGTGCTACCAAGCAAGCCTCCTCGACATTGAGAAACACCCACAGTCTCTTTCCCTCCCACACATCGCTATTTTCTTCATCCATTACTGCTCCCCATCATCATCCGTCTGTCTGCTTTCCTGACTCTTCGACTCTCATGCTGTTTTCCTTCCAATCCCCCCTCCTCCTTCTCTCCATCCCTTCTTCTTTTCTTGAGTCCATCCACTCCCCAAGGGACAAGTATGGCTCTGATGAACATGGAGAGCCCGGAACAAATCAGTCTATCGATCTGTCGATGTATCCCTCGCTCTGCCCCTCTGATCGTCAGCAGAAAACAAAGTGTTTATTAAGCGAAACCTTCCCAATCTCCTTCTCCCAAGCAGTCCACTATCCCCCTCACTCGTTAATGGAGAGCTTCTTTCTGGGCCCTGCGTGTACACCCAGCTGAGACTTGTCCTGTCTTCCAATTACATTTCTTTAGCCATGTCCCACCTGTCAAGGTTCCTAACTTCTGCATTTCTTCACCTTCTTTCTTGCCCTGTCCACCTTTACTGCCAATTTAAAGTTGGCTTGTACTATTCCCAAAGTGAGAGCACAGACTTCGCTCTTATTTATGACAATGCACTGCAGCAAAGTACAGCCACAAGGAGGAGAGTGACGTAGAGTGCTGCGTTTATCAGTCATCTGCAGTCTATAGGGCTTAAATTGGGACTGAATTTTGTACGGAAACGATTGCATTATGGGTTCTTCTGAAAGGCCTGAATTTGATTGAAATGGAAAGCAGTGCCTTCTTGCTCCGAAAATACATAACTGCTGATGTGATTACCAAGAACTGCAGGGGAGGAAGGGAGGGTGTTCAGAGTGGTGGCAGATATGAGGGGGAAATGCAAGCAAAACTTACTGTGGTAACAGTCCAGAGGGAAGAGAACAGAAGAGGGATGGAAAAATAAAGTGGATGCATGAGAGAAAGAGACAGGGTGCGAACAAAATAAATTCCTGGATTTCTTGTATTTGTCCTCTTTGGTGGAAGTAACCTCATATCGACAGGGTATTAGCTGGAGTCAGAGGTTCTGCAGCAGAGCAACCCGCCTTCACTTTGACAGACAGACAGAATAGATCCATGCCATTCCCAGCCGCGGGGCTCCCAGGCCTCGCATAATCAATCAGCCATTAATGGAGTAAGTGGCTGTGGAAGGATATTAAATGTTAATTGCTGTAAGGTATTGATAACACCCATCGATCTGCTAGATAATTGCAATCAGTGAAAACAAAGATACATTATATGAGACTAAGCCCCTTTTACCAGAAGCCAGGGCTAAACAATGACGAATGGACATATGGATCAGATGTGCTTTTGTTGTGCACATGTCCTGGTTGTGTCCTCAAGGGAATATTTTTAATAACAATCACCTGCAATGCTAAGCTGTCTCTTATTGTTTTGAAAATTAAGATTGACAAGCTTTTTATGAATCTTTACCTTCAATCAGGTTTGTTTTATTAAGTTTCCTCCTGATTGATTCCTGTTTGAGGAGGGCAACGTTTTCATTTCTATCTTTGCCTTTTAAAGCAATTAAGAGAGACACTGAAAGTGATTTATTGTTTCAGAGTCAAGTTTCTATAGACTGTATTTAAGCTTGTCAGGATTCTGTCTACAAAGGATACATATACAATTAATAACGTTGTAATTTTCATCTATTGAAAGACCAACATTATATCTACAACAATGCCTGAATGTCCAAAAACACAAATAAATATTGTTCCTGTCTAAATCAGTTGCACAGAAGATGATCAAAGACACCTAGCATGAATGTAGAATGTAATCCCAGACATATGAACTTGATCCTTATCAATACCAGGTACATGTACAGTTTCAGAGACATCATCATCCTTTTATCCCGTTTGCCTCCTCATCACTTCCTCCACGCTCTCTGTTCGTGGATGCTGTCTGCAGTGTGTTTGCCGGGAAAGGTTGGTGTCCACAAATGACTTGTTGGGAATAGAAGCAGACAGTGGCATCAGTCAGTTCATGATAGATTAACCCCTCAGTGGAGTGTGAGGTCGATCAGAGAGCAAAACAACAATCTGCAACCTCCAGTCAGGGGGAAGGTGTGTGTGTGTGTGTGTGTGTGTGTGTGTGTGTGTGTGTGTGTGTGTGTGTGTGTGTGTGTGTGTGTGTGTGTGTGTGTGTGTGTGTGTGTGGCAGGCAGCTCCAGCTCCCAGGCCACCTGAGAGGAATTGGCAGGCCCTGGCCAGGCGTTGTGTCAGAATGCCTGTTGAATAATGCAGGACCTCAGAGGCAGTTGGGCTTTCTAATACCACATGACTCTGAGACACCCCGCCTGAGATCAATAACACTTAGAAGCTGCTTTATAATGAAGGAGACACTAAAATTCCATCATCAGGCAATTAGTTGAACTCTGCCTCCCATTCTTCACCCTTTCCCTTCCATTTCTCTCTGGCCAGGGCACAACTCAAGGCACATTAAGAGTAAATCATGTGGGCACAGGTTATTCTTCTCTGGCTTTGATAAGGAAATGTTTTTGCACGCCAGGATTTAGGAGAGAAGGTGATTCCTCTCTGAAGGATCTTGTTTTTTCAGGCTCTATGTGAGTAAGAGAGAGAAAGGTACAGCAATTCGGTGATGTTTAAAATGAACATCACAGAATTGCTGTACTCCTCTATTCCCTGCCCCTCTAAGGCCTATGGCACATGCATTATAAATTACCTCTAAACTCTGGCTACAATGTTATACTAGTGTGAGTGGAGGTCCTTTTAAGAGTCTACACTATAAAAAGTACAGACTCCTGCAGTTAAAGCCATCGTTGGAAGTATGTATTGCTATGGTCTATTACAGTCTATTATTTATATAATACCCACTCTTCCAGCACCCCGCTATGAAGTCTGTGTCAATGCATAATGACTGAATGAGCTGTGCAGACAGAAGGGCTCTCCACTCTACTCCACCGGGAGGTCAAGGGTCAGGAAGCGATAATGCAGTGTAAATATACTGGCTTGGGATTTGGAGTTCATTAGAGGTCCATTATAGTCTTTGAGTGACATCACTCTCTCTGGGAGCAGGAAGAAAGCGGAGATGTGTGTGCTTTGTCATAAATGGCCTGCGGTGTGTCTGGTGTAGTGGTTTATGATGGATGATCAAGGGCAGGGGTGTCAAACTCATTTTGGTTCATGGGCCAAATACAGCCAAACTCAAGTGGGCCGGATCATTAAAGCTATTGCATAATAACCTATACAAATCGAAATGTTTCCCTATATTTTAATGTGAGGAAGTTCAAGTACATTCTGAAAACTAACCAATCCATTCACAAAACAGGTATTGAACATCCAGAAATGTTGCACTGATTTCTCAAACCTGAAAAATACAATGTATGTTCGGTTCTCAGTTCTTACAAGTTATTGTAATTATAATGAGTCTGATAGTGGCAGTGAATATCATAATATTTGAGTGAAAGGTGCTGTTAACACACAAAGCACACTATGGCCATCTCTTTTCTTTTTCTTGTGGTCCTTATACAAACAGTAATCCCTGCATTGTGTCTGTATGGTTTGCTACAGCACAAACATTACAAATAGCAGTGCATTTCATTGAAATTTGAAGTGAATGACTGCTCTGGGTCTTTTACACTTTGCAATGCCCCCAATAAGCAAACCAGTTCTGGGATGTTTGAGATCACTGGGGTCAAGAGTATGTTGTAAAACACATGCAATCTAAGTCTTGTATTTGAATCGAACTGCCTTTAATTCCTTAAATCTATTTTGAGTTCTGAATGGTGTGTGTCTCTGTAGTCACATTGCAAGTCAAACTTTAGAGCCGATCCTTCAGACTGCAGGGCCAGCACTTCTCTTGCGTAAGACTTTGCAGAGGCTATAAAGCCCTTCTCTGCCCCCTCCTCAACCCCATTATCATTCATATTCATAATCAGCATCTGTAAAACCAACTGCTGTCGTCTGCAAGTAACCACATTTATTAGGCAAGAGCACGGAGGGTAGATTACGACTGTGGAGAGTGTACACGCTTAGTTTGAACCAGAGCCAATATCTCATTATTCAAATTGTTCACTGTTGGTTGGTGAGAGGTAGAGGAAGAGGTGGAGAGGGAGCAGCCGGAGAGTCACGGAGTCATCCAGGGCTGCGTGGCTCTGCCGGGGATCTCTTCTCTGCGCTGTCTGGGTCCTGGAGGTCAGGCTGAGCTTCGGCCCTCTCTGTCAGTCTGCGGTGATAGAATAATGGCAATGGCATAATTAACGGGCAAGAAGATTCTGCCCGGGGGACGCGCTCTGCTGCTCTATTAGAAGAACTGGAGCCTCGGTCCGGGCTGTAATTAGGTCTCCATGGGTTCTAATTGTCCCAGAGTTTTCAGAGGTAATGGTAGCAGTATGGCAGAATGGATCTACAATGAGGGAAGCGGAACAACTTTCACACACTGCAGGTGTTCTCTTTTGCACCCCTAGAACCAATTAAGGTTATGGATAAGAAGTAGATTCGGCCAAATGTTTTTGTACAAGTCTGATGGATAGGAGCTTGAAGCCAAAAAAAAACAAGTATTGAAACGACTATTCAGTTAATCAGTTAGTGGATCAACAGAAAAATAATAATTTTGATATTTCAAATGATTTGATATGTGTATTTATCAAGCTAAATTACAATCAGTAATGTCCAATTTGAGGTTTGAGTGTTAATCTGACAAGACAGGTCATTTTAAATTGGGCTTAGAGAAGTTGTAATGAGTATTTTTTACTATATTCTGCATCGGAAAATGGAACCGTGTTATTCTTACAAATAAAATGGCTCTATTGTGTTCAAGCTTCATACCATACTGTGTGCAGTCATATTGAAAGCTGTATTCTCACTGTTTACCTCGTATTGTCTATACAATGAAAGATATAATGATTGCAGCTTTCCGGAGTTGTACAATCCTGATAGTATTAATAACCCCAGAGCAATGTTTGGGTGTCTGCTAAGCCTTCAAACTCATGCTGGATTCTATTAATGTTTTGTGGACACATGTATCATGCTATGCTAAAATGCATGTTTCATAGAATCTCTGAACATTAGAGTTGTTGAGCAGCCCCCCTGTAACCCCTCTCTCACCCTTCACATCATCTTATCTGTTTCTAGCAGCGTCATGCTCTTAACCCAACAGAAGTAGGGACGTGCACAGGTACGGGCTAATGTTGCCCGGGCAACGGCCCGTTTGCCCTTTTTGGCTGACCTGCCCCTCTGGAGAGACGGTTTCTCTTGTGTTCGAATCAACACGATAAGCCCACAATTAGTATCAGCGCTGTCATCTGCCCCCAGTCACGTGACTTTGTTTACAATCTTACAGCTGGAAGCAAAGGAAAGCCCTCCGGCCTCATATGGTGATCACACCAAAGGCCTGCCTGGCTTTGGTGGCCAATCCCCGGCTCAATCTGTCCCCGGAAATGTCCCCGTTTTTAAATATGCTTTATAAACACATAGCAAGGTGGAATACGATTGTGACAAAGTTGATGTTTCAATGGCATGGTGCTCGTTCGCAGCAATACAATTATTGTAGCCTTAGCGTTAGCATTTAGAGTTTCATTCTTCTTCTACTATTTATTTTACTTCGTCTTCTTCTTCTCCTTCTTCTTATATGTAATTCCCCACGAAATGTTGAATGAAGATCTCGTTTCAGTGTGAACTCATTCCACAGTATGACCACAAAAGTACAGGTACGTTTTTATTATTTATGTTCTATAACGCTAAGTGTGTGATTACACATGTTACGTATTATATATAATATGTATTACACTGTGGTGCCGGTGCGTTGAGACCACCTCTAGTGTCGGATTTTGGAAAATTGATTTTGAATATTCTCATGAAAGTTAAAGACTTTACTTCCTCTTGACACCGTCGGTTATTTACAAAAAAACGCCTACATACACTTGTTAGTGTGCTTCTTTCTTTCTGTGTCTTTCCATCTGTAAACTCCCTCACCCTCTCTCTCTTCTCTTGATCGCCCTCTCACAGGAGAACAGTTCACTGTCCCACTTCATTGCAGGATTTCTGCCATGTCTCCACTTCAGTTTGACCATCTCTGTTATTAAGTTATGCAATACTAAATACATAAGTAATTAGATACCTTACCGTTACTGTGCTCATAAAGAATGATAAGAATAATGTGTATTGAACTGGTTTAATTAATTAGTGAGTTTATTTAAGGGAATTAGTTAGAAGCCCTATTTCATCAGTTTGTCTGCACATCAGTTACAATGGTCAGACTACATTAAAAGAGAATTCGGGGGGGAGGCCCTTTTTCTAGTTTAGAGCTATAGCCCCTCCAAATGCCTGTGCACGTCCCTGAACAGAAGAATATGTGTCTGATAGTCTATGGACTCTCTGATGCTTTAACAATGCCTAAGCCGGCTAGCTGAGGCTCTTCCGCCCCAAACACAGCTCTAACTGATCTTGCATTGAAAGAGATAGCAGTACATATTGGTTTTTCATACAGCCGCTTATACTGTGCTCAACTGGATACAGAGGAGTGCCCCGCTTCGTTCCTGTTTCTGATATATTTGAATTTTCATCACCTCAATTGATCGAGACCCTTTACTCAAGGGACAAAGATGCAGACTAAATGACTATTGACTCGCAAATGTTAGAAAAATGCATTTGTCAGACCACCAGTGCTATTGATGAGGGTGTATTAAAAAAATGTATCTGAAGAATCAATGAAGAGGAAGGAGAAAGTCCATAGCAGTGGACTACCAATGAGTCTCTGTAGCTCTGACTATATTTCCTCTTTCTGACTTGCTTTTGTCTCCTAGTGCTTATGTGCTAACCACTGCTGGCGCATTGCAGTAAACCAGGGGAGTGTGTGTGTGTGTGTGTGTGTGTGTGTGTGTGTGTGTGTGTGTGTGTGTGTGTGTGTGTGTGTGTGTGTGTGTGTGTGTGTGTGTGTGTTTGCAGCATCGACAAGCATCCGTGGGTTTACTGTCTCCATAAATCCCACTTACCCACTGCACACATGCACACGCTCCACATCCAGAGACACTGACCTTTTCTCACAAGTTTTATTTTGTATCTCAGTACAAAACTGTGAAGATGAATCACACTGGAATGTAAATGTCACGTACATTCCTTTTGGGTAGGTAATGAAGTTTGGGAATGGTTTAAATTTAACACAGAATAACTTTTTGTGTTGTTTAAGGATATTAGCTTTCAGTGTCGCTTTACACTATGACACTTCCCCGATGATGAAATATTTAATCGCGAGCATTGGCAAAGTCTTAGGCCCCGTCCACACGGACACGAAACAGGTTGTATCTGATACAGTTCTCTATTGTATGGACGGTTTGTCCACACGAGGCCGTAACAGAACCAAGGTGGGTAGATCTGCGGACGGAACGCTCTGGGGGGTCAAACGGCTCCGTGTGTACACCCTATACGCCAGGGGTACTCAAACTTTTTTGTTAAAGGTCCATTTGTGAATTTTATACAAGGTCAATGGTCCGGATAAATGCCAGCAAAGTCCCCCCCAGCAAAGTCCCCCCCCCCCAGTTTCAGAAGCAGTTTCGGCGCGCTATGCATGGAGGGGGTTTCCCGACATGTCGTTGCATGTTGTCGTTGCTGTGGACCTTCTTAATCTTTTTTTATGTTATTTTTTTTAATTTATTTTTAATTTTGAAATTGTTACGTTTATTCTGGTTTGTTTTGTGTTTGTATCTTTTATTTTAAATGTATTTATTTATTTTATGTTTTGTGAGCTGAGCTGTGTGATTTTATATTTTATGTATCTCTCTGTACAGCACGTTTTAAAGTGCTATATAAATAAAGTTGGATTGGATTGGATAAATCTACTTTATTTGGGGGCCCCCTTCTGGTCCAAGCGCTTGCCTGTCAGCAAACAGCCCCCCTGTATACACACACACATTCAATACATACATACAGTATGATGGCTTGAAGTGGGAGAAATGGCACTGTTTCTCTGTAGCCAATGCCTTGAACCTTGGCAAAAATGGCATTAGAAGCATTAGAAAGTCAAGGTAAACTTGCGGTTAACTTGCGGTCTGCAATGCGTGTCACGCTCGCGCACACAAGTAAATATATATGCACGTTCATTCTCACAACGCGTCAGAAACAAGAAAATATGCATTAAAGGGGACCTATAATGCAAAATGCACTTTGTGATGTCTTTTATACATAAATGTGTCCCCGGTGCGTCGGGGAACTCACGCAGCATCAGAAAATAAAACCCTCTCTCTTTTTCTCCGTACCCAAATCTTTTAAAAACAGGGGTACAACGAGCGGATACAGATTTGCTGCCGATCTGACGTCAAATAGGCAGCGGACCCACAGAAAATAGCTATCAGAAACAATGCCTGGCGTGTTTTGGACGTAATCTCGTCTTTGTGTACATTAGCAAGCCTCGCTAACACTCAGAGCTAACCTGTACTGGAGAGCACATGTGTTTAAAAAGCAGGAAATAAAAAAAGGAACTCACCTCGTGATAAACCCGCAAGAGAAAAAGCATTTGAGCTCCGTACTGTTTCAGAAATAATCTTTGATGTGGTTTAGAATAAGATGGCGTTTTATCACAGAAGAATTTAACTTTATCTCCGGTAGAATTCTGATCAAGCATTAGCTCCGCCTCCTCTTTAAAAAAAAAAAAATGTTTTAAGCTAAGGACCCAAAATCCGTGTTTCTCTAACAGGGCTTCAAAAGAGGGGTTTGAGGCTGAGCAGTATGAGGCATGGCTACAGTGGGTGATCTGTTTGGTATTTTAAGCAAAAAACTTCACAGACATGTTTTGTATAGGTATGGCCCTACAATATATTTTTCCAATATATTATAATAGGTCCACATCAGAATCAGAAATTCAATTCAAACATTTTTTTTATTTATAATGGGACACAGGGTTCGGTCCGGATTGATTTGCAGTTCGGTCCGGATCCGGACCTTGGTCCGGAGTTTGGGAAGCCCTGCTATACGCCATCTCCCCACCTCAATTTGATTTTGGGGGTTATTGAGGATGCTGAATCAGTTTCTGACAATTTCAGGATCAACAATAGCAGTTCTAACCAGAAAATGTCCGAATCGGCCAAGCAATTTGTTCTACTATTGTCAAATTAGGCTATAATGGTAATTAATGCACGTTATGCTAATTGTGCAAATTACCCAACATATGAGACTTAGCATCCGTCAGATGTCCTAGAGAC